TTGACAGCCAACCAGCTATCGTTCCTCTTGCTCGCCACCCGGAAGTAAGTTAGCTAGATTCAGAACATTTATTGCATAGTGTGTTTTGACAATAACTGCAGTTCCATTTACGCGCTACAAGAAAAATGATATCATCATTTTACAGTAATTGAGCATTCACTTTGCTCTGTTAAACGCTCACATCTCCTCTCCCAAAACTTAGCAGATAAGAAAGCCAGATTTGCAATAAGCATCTCATGCTCTTCAGAACGGTATCAGCAGTTTTAGGATGCCACTTCGACTAGTCCCTGCGGCGAAAGGAGCGCGTCCCCCGTTATGAAAAGGCCGCGTGCGAACGCCACTGCGCCGTTTTATCACTAGGGACGACGCTCCCCTCGCCGTACGGATGTTAGTGCACACGGCCTCAGAATGAATGGTAGGTAATGTGCAAAAGCTTACAGAAAACGTTGAACCTACCTACACTATGCTGTTGAGTCAGTACTTGCTCGCTAGAGAGAAAATCATACTGAAGCACTCTGGCTGCTATAAACTCTAAACCGTAAAAGAAAAACTCTGAACTCAGCATTCCACTGCCTATGAGGCATTGCCTAATAGAAGTATGAGAAACATACTCAAACATTTTATCAATCATTACTATACTAACAATTCGTAGCAAAACAAGAAGCTGAAAGAAACAAGTAGGGGAAAACAAACAATCAAATGAACAACTATTTATCCTTCTTCGTTTCCTGTTCTTGGATCTCGCCATTAGCATCAGCGTCTGATGCTATGTCTATTTGACCATTAGCTTCGGTGGAAGTAGCAAGCGATGTGCCAAATTCGTTCATGCGGTTGGGATCAACGCGGTATATCCATCTTTGGTATAAGTAGATCTTGAATGTCAAATTTCAATCACAAACTTGATGCTGTATTTGGATCAGTCTACAGAGATAAGAACAAACTTACAAGAAAGATAATGTCATCCCTGAAGCATCCTATGCGATACATCAATGGCATCCGTATGACGAAAGCAAACAGATCGTCAATGAAGGTATTGATAAACTTGTAAGTAAGCATTCTCCACGGAAGATGGGCGACTGACTTCAGCTTATAATTTATGAACAACTGAAAAGAGAACAAACACTTCGGAGTTTGCATTAGCCTTGAGCGGGCGCAAGTAGCTAAAATTTCAGTTCTTTGTTGAAATAGAAAGCACTTATTGAAAGAGCAAGTACACTGAGCAATTTGGTGTATTGACACCCATCCGGCTCCTTTTCGAAACCAAAACTAACACTACAGTCCAATAAGCAATGCACAACATTCCAGGTGCTTCAAGTTAAATCACACACAAACAAGGCCTGGCCTTCAGGTGATTTCAAAACTCAAGTCAACCCGGTTTCTCCTAGTCGCGACGCTAGTAGTGAA